TTAATCTTAACCAAACACAAATGAGATAAAAATTGAACACATTCTCATCAATCTAACATACCCAGTAATCTGACATTCCCATGGTAATCTGACATCCTTTGAACCAAACGGACCCTAAGGGTATTATTTTTGTTGAGGTATTAAATATGCACTTATTGTTTATATGGTTTTATTTCCACCAAGGGGAGTTTTCAATATTTTCATTTTTGCCAAAAGTACTAAATTTTGAGTAATGATATGTGGACAAATGACACAAGTATTATCTTTAAATTTGCGAAATAAAAAATAGTGTTAAATTTTTCATTTTTACAAAATATGATTAACCATTTGTTTAATTAATTCATTTTTTTTCTTATTGTGATTTATATCCAATTTTTGTCCCATCCCCAAGCTCACACATGCTCAACCGTAGTCAGAACTGTTGCCGGAAGTCAATGAAAAATTATGATGATTTTGTTCGCCCCAATTTGTGCTAAATACGTCATAATCCCGTTAGCATTTATAATATATATGCGTTGCAGTGCATCGAGAAATACACAAATCATATGCACAACCTTACCACTAAGCTGATGTACGGGGACAAGTGAACTACACGGTAAATTATGGTACACGTTTTCTTTAAGCAATTTAAGAAAGGATGGATAAGATTGATATGTTCTATATTTGAATTAAGAGACCGAAATCCGATGGCCAAATGCAGGTATATATAATACTTTGTACGGTTAGGTGGGGGTGGGATAGGGAGTAGAAAATGAAGAGAAGGTAGGTAGAGGAAGGATGGATATGTGTTGAGTAAAAGGCAATTGGCAGATATCGATGATATTTTAAAACGGACACTGAGGGTACCTGTTGCATGTTCCAATGCACTGTCACACTTACTTTTTCATTGACCATATTATTTTTGTCGTTCTTTTTATGCCTTCTTATCTTCAATTGCCGCTCCACTTACTCGACTCCTACTCCCCCACCGCATTACTTGATCTCAATCTCAACTCCGGTTGGTGTATGTATCACGACACTAGTTAATTTAATTGGCTACTAATTAAGATTGACCTTTTAGGGTATTATTTTTGTTGAGGTATTAATTATGCACTTATTATTTATTTGGTTTTATTTCTACCAAGGGGAGTTTTCCATATTTTCATTTTTGCCAACAGTACTAAATTTTGAGTAATGATATATGGAACAATGACACAAGTATTACCTTTAAATTTGCGAAATAAAAAATAGTGTTAAATTTTCATTTTTACAAACTGATGTGTATTTTCTCGCACTTAAAAAGGATGTAGTAAAGTGGTGAAAAGTACGAGTATCGTCTCCACAGGGACGGACAAAAGGGAAATAAAGATTAACTAAACTTAGCGATTAAAAAGAAATAAATAAAATAAAAGTGCAGATGTGCGAGATTGATTGATTGATTAAACTAAAACTAATGCTAATGAGCGAATAAAATGATTTGGTTTTCCTTAATTAACGACAAAGGGAACAGGAATTGATTCCGGGGTTAACCAGATTTCTGGCAGAACAGGCCTAATTACATGAATTTATTTTAATTGAGCTTAGCTAATCATTACTAAGTTCTTACCGCTCTCGCGGCGTAGAGTACAATAATTTAGGGGTCCAGACTGATCTCTCATGCGACAAGATCCTAAATTATTGCCAAAACGAACGAGCTTACGGCCCCTTAATCGCTACTAACCTCTTAGCGAACGATTAAGTGTGTGTGAATGTGTCCTAGAACAAATTAGATCTCTCTTAATTTATTCTATAAGCAATTGTAATTCTAGTGGCCATCTAGGTTACAAGAGATATCAATTAAATTATTCAAACACAAATTAAACGACATTCATGCAATTAAACCGACAAGAATCTAGCCATACATCATGATTAACCCCTTCATCAACCCCAAATCCCTAATTAAACTACTCACGCCTCATAATTGACGAATCAAAAGAATTGGGATGAATAGAAATAATTGTCATTAATTAAAGAATTGAACTTACAAAGAATCCCAGGTTCTTGGATTAAACAACGTAAAAAATGCAGATAAACTCGTCCCTAGGCCTCTCTCCAAAGTTCGTAACCCCAAAAGTGGGTATGGAGGCCTTATTTATAGAAAACAGGAGAATTTGAGCTGATTTAGGACAAAACGGGGCCAGACACGGTGCCAGGCACGATCGTGCCTGCGACCGTGTCTGCGGAAGAGACGCGCAAAAAATATTGCAGACACGATCGTGACTAGGGGTGGGCAAACGGGTCTTGGAACCGCGGTCCGGTCCGGGTAATGGCGGTTCGGGTTCAAAACGGGCCGGTTCCACTTTTTGTTGCAAGAAAACGGTCCGGGTAGGTCCGGGTAATTTATTTTTAAGACCCGGACCGGTTCCAAAATAAAAAAATACCGGGTACCCGGCCCGGCCCGTTATATATATACTGTAAAGTAATTTTTTAATACACTGGCCTCTGCCAAGTTAGTTTACTTAGCCCATTAGGTTGTGATTAAAACGTCTTGTTTACTTTAATAAATAGTTAATTTTGTCCTTAGATATTACAAACTTTCTATGTTTACTGTTTAGTGATTATGATTTGCACATGCCACATGGGCATTCATCGTCCTATAGTCCAGTAGGAAAGAAATTCATCAAGGACTTGTTTAATTCCAACTTCGCCAATCGGTTGTTCACTGAAAGTATGAAAATTCATCAAGTGACAATTTCATATAAATAGGATTTAGTAATTGATGACCATATTGTTTGTGAACTTAGATATATAAAGTTACTAAGTATTGAAATTGTCACTTGTGTTAGATGTGCACCGGTATGTTGTTATTTTGAAACTTGTCAATGTACTATATTATTGATCATTGATTATTGTTTTTTTGAACTTTGTAAGTTTTTACTATTTTTAAGACATGGAAATAGGAACCGAAAAACTCGATCCGGACTGACCCGTTTCAAACGGGCCGGGTAAGGTCCGGTTCCTATTTTGAAAAATGCAATACTTGAACCGGACCGGACCGTATAATGGAACCGGCGGTTCCATTTTATTTTACATTACCCGCCCCGACCCGGTCCGTGCCCAGCCCTAATCGTGACTGCACCGGACACGATCGTGTCTGGCTGCCAGTAGCTCCGCGTCAATTCAGATGGCAGGCACGATCGTGCCTGCCCTAGGCACGGCCGTGCCTGACCATTTCCTCATCGTTTTTCTTCGTTTCTCGTTCCGAATGCTCCCGAATGCCTACGAGGTCGATCCAAATGCTCTTTCTTCACCAGAATTTCGTCGTGAATCTCCCGGTGGCCTCCAAATCTTCCAAATCTCTCTCGAATGCCTTCAAACCCTTCCCGAATGCCTCTCAAGCGCCGATTGTCGGACTCTAACTTCTTCAAATCAACTCCAAATGCTATGAAACTCAATCCAACGCCTGTTAAACACAACTTGAGCCAAAATTGAAACTTGCAACGCCTTAAAGCCAGGAAAATCATCAAAATCCGACCCGAACACGCATCAAATGCGTGTCTAAATACGGACTTATCACTAACATATGATTAACCATTTCTTTAATTAATTCATTCTTTTTCTTATTGTGATTTATATCCAATCTTTGTCCCATCCCCAAGCTCACAAATGCCCAACCGCGACCGGAATCTGTTGTCGGAAGTCAATGAAAAATTATGATGATTTTGTTGGCCCCAATCCGTGCTAAATACATGCTAGTCCCGTGAGCGTTTATAGTGTATATGGGTTGCAGTGCATCGAGACATACACAAATCATATGCACAGCCTATCACTAAGCTTATGTACAGGGACTAGTGAACTACATGGTAAATTATGGTACTCGTTTTCTTTAAGCAATTTAAGAAAGGATGGATGAGATTGATATATTCTATATTTGCATTAAGAGACCGAAATGCGATGGACAAATGCAGGTATATATAATACTTGGTACAGTTGAGTGGGGGTGGGGCAGGGAGTAGAAAATGAAGAGAATGTAAGTAGCGGAAGGATGGATATTTGTTGAGGAAGAGGCAATTGGCAGATATCGATGACATTTTAAAACGGACACTGAGGGTACCTGTTGCATGTTCCAATGCACTGTCACACTTACTTTTTGATCGACCATATTATTTTTGTCGTTCTTTTTATGCCTTCTTATCTTCAATTGCCGCTCCACTTACTCGACTCCTACTTCCCTACTGCATATCTTCAATTGCCGCTCCACTTACACAAATTAAAGTAACTATATATGTAACTATATATTAGTAATTGTGATTATATATATTCATTTTTTCACATAATAACTAATTTAGTCACATTTTTGTGCATAAGCTTTATTTGTGACACCGCACCCGAACGTCCTTGAAAGATCAACTTAAATTCAAATTTATGTATTGAATTTCCGATCTTCCAACAATTGTAAAACGATTAATGTTCTACGTAGTGCATGGTTGAATATCGTACTGTTCAAACTCGTACATTAGTGTCGGGTTTTGCAAATACTTATTCGGGACTTATTAATAAATAAAAGAGCCCAACATTATCTAAATAGTGATACATAATCTTTCAAGACAATTTGAGGAAGGTCGAGCGGCCCAAACATTATTTTGGGCCCAACCTGCTAAAAATAGCAAGTATTCGAGAATGGCGTTCTAGACCCACTCGGGAGTGACCCACACGGCTAGTAGCCCAATAATATGTATGACAAATGTCAAATAAGTGATAGAATGATTAAAGAAGAATACAAATGCCTATAACCCCATCTTTGGCATTATTGAGCTAAATAATGGGAGTAGGGTTTTTCTTCTATAATATTCATCATGTAAATTATTGGGATGATCATACACATAATGGAGATCAATAATATGATGTAGAGAGTTGACTTGTTCTAAATAAATTAGAATGAGTACAAAGAGACATCTTATGACAAAGAGATCAAAAGTGAGACCCACCCATGTCTAAAAACATCTCATGGAGGCCATACCAATTCATTTCACTCCACACAACTTATCCACCCTTATTGAAGGGTCTTGGACACTCCCTTAATCCCCTCATTCGAACTCCCAAGGATAAGGGAGAAGGAGAGAGCCACACAACCAAGAAAGCAAGAGAAAGGGGAAGCTGCCGCAGGTTCGTTTTCCAGTGCGTAAGGTTACTTGTTTGCTTCATATCTCGAGTTATACACATCCAAATAAGGCGTGCGAGATACCCACAGAAAGCTCTCAAGACGAGGAATCCGTGAAGGTCTGGTTTGCATCAATCGGAGTAGTGGAAGGCTTCCAAATCGTCCGAGAAAAACACAACCTCGCAGAATACGTTTTTGTATTCAAAGTAAGTTTGAATCCAAAACTTTCCTCTCTATTGTCTAAATCATATAAATGATTGAAGAATTATTATACACTGATTGAAGTGTATAAAATGTTATTATAAAGTGACTTTAATTGTTGGAAAGATTAGATACTAACCTACACAAAACCTTGAAAGGCTAGGGAACGAATTCGTCGGGAAACACCCGTTCTAGGGACTGTTTTTATGTCTTCGGTTAGGAGTTCAAATAGCACTTTGAGGGGGCTGTTTAACACTCAATTCCAAGCAAGGAATCAGTTCTCAAACTTCCTTGGCCGGGACTTTGGTCATTGGATCAAGAAGGAAAAGTTTAAAGCTCAATAAAGGTGAGGACCGACATCTAGTTGCTTACAACTTGTAGGTTATGCATGAGATTACCTAAATGCTTAAATCATGTTTTGTGAATAAATATGCTTGAACATGATATGAATGATAAGTAATGGACTTGATCATGAATTGAAACCATATTGATGAATATGGAGTCATGTGAGATAGAAGTATGCTAATATGGTAAATTGACTTTTCCAACTCATGTATGAATGTTATGTGTATGTAAATGTATAATTGCATGGTGATGCTTAACACATGGGAGGCTGCCACATATCTATTGATATGGAGGGGCTACCATTAATGATAAATGAGTTGTAGGAATAATCTTAATAGTATTGTGATGCTAGTTAAGGATTGCCCTAAATGTGTTAGAATCAAACTCAAGGTTTGAGTTTGTTTGTGATGAACTTGAATGAGATTCAAGTGTCAATTGTGGAATCATGGAGTAGGAGATCTATGGTGTGATTTTATGAAGTAGGAGATCTATGGTGTGATTTTATGAAGTAGGAGATCTATGGTGTGATTTTATGAAGTAGGAGATCTATGGTGTGATTTTATGAAGTAGGAGATCTATGATATGATTACATGAAGTAGGAGATCTATGATGCGAGTGCATGATGATGTACTCGAGCCGAACTCTAGAAATGAGAAGTTATATTAGGGTTGGACCCTATGTATGTCGTGACCATTAGTCACGGGTTTTGGGAAATGTTTTGTGATAAACATGGGCCTATGAGCCGACTACTTGACTTCATATAAAGTAAGTATATATTTTGAAGGGGTAATTTGGGATTACAGCCTAAACTATATTATCACCCTATTTGAGGGTCTTGTGTGTGAAATACTTGTTGTATATCTATTAGATGCCTGCCACACCAGTACTTTATAGCCGTATAGAGTACTGACCCCTTCGGGGGCGTCCCACCACCATTTCAGGTTGAGGCTAGAGCTTGCATCCTGTGCTCGTTGATCGAGTGATTCCTAGGAGAGAAGACTTGGTTCGTGCTTCCTCCGTTCCATTTGAAACATAAATAAATTTGCTCATGGATATTTTACTATAGAGCCTGCGTGCTCATGAAATGCCTTGTGTGGCCTTCTTGTTTTAAACAATGTTTTCCGCTGCGTTATGAATTACTTATTATGTTTGTTTATGGATGTATACGTGTGAATGATATTCAAGACGCCTTGTATAATATGAATGTGTTGGACTGCGGTTGACTATTCGTATTGTACGGCGGATTGTCGACGTGTCCGGGGAGGTCCGGGGCGTGACAATTAAGTTGGTATCAGAGCCTTAGTCCATAAACTTCATAATGAAGTCTCAAAATTCTCTTTTCAAAATGATTTTTGAAAACCATGAGCGAAAATGTTTTGTACTTAAGAACTTTTGGTGTTTGAGTTGCAAGGTCTCTAATTGTTAAGATGGCGCCCTTAACGATTGGTATGGCAGTGACTTGACCCAAGAGATGTCTTAAGTGCCTATCTGTCAGTTGACATTTGAAACGAGTCTAATGACTCATTCTAATTATTTCTTTCAGCGATGGAGGGTGATGGTGGTATTATGAATAGGGAGAACTCGGAAGGGTTTGCACCGGGTGGAACCGGGCATGCCAACCAAGAAAAGCCCTTAGGACCAAAGGTGCACGAAATTCTTGAAGCTCAAATCATGAGTGGTGGTCATGTTAAGACCAAGGAAGAATCACCTTGTTATGGCAAAACTGAACCACTCAAGGCTTCGGGTGACGAAGGAGATGATTTGAGTGATGAGGACCTTGATGGTGCACCCATTGAACAAATGGGCATGGTCATAGATTGGCTTCAACGTGAACGTGTGAGGCTTATACAAAAACGCCAAGCTAGGCAAGCTGAGGGCATACCATTAGTAAGGAAAAGGAAGTGGGGAGACAACGATTCACAAAGACATTCAAGGAGGACAAACGTTGAGGGTGACAAAACCTTCAGGGCGCAGACACTATCACTTGAGTGGAGTCGAGGCTCGGGTGGCTAGAACTCGAGGTCAAAAGGTTCGAGAGTACCTAAGTGCACAAATTGTAAGAAGCACCACCCGGGTAAGTGTTGGGAACCTCCTAGGTGCTACCGATGCAGAGAGATCGGGCACACGAATGCGAATTGCCCACAACTTGTACCCGACCAAACTTTGGGCTCAAGTAGTACGACTATAGGCATACAGAGTCAAGCCGGGGCCTCTCAAGCAAGCAAGGAACATGGCGGAGCAAGTGTGAGCAACGCGCCGTCCGTGAATCAAGGGAGGACTCACGCTAGAGTCTATACGATGACGGAGGCGGAGGCTCGAGCGAACCCGGATTCCGTTGCAGGTATAACCTCTTGTATACTTGTGTTTTATCCATGATTAGTCCATAAATTGAGGTTACTAGTCGTTGGGATCATTGCACGAAGCTTTGGGGTCGAACCGGGAGGATTTCGGGCAATTTTGGGCTGTTTTTGCCCAGGCACGATCGTGCCTAAGGGCACGCACGATCGTGTCTACATGGCAGTAGCTCCCTAGGCTTTTTCCAAGCCAGCCACGATCGTGCCTACCCCCAGGCACGCCGTGCCTGGCACCCAGATTGCCGAAAACCGATTTTTCGCACCGTTTTGCGACGTTAAGACCTTTTCTTGATCCCTAACGTGTGTGTGAACATTGTAACCCTCTATAAATGAGTAGGGAGGGTAGGAAAGATGTCTTACATGGTTCATGAATGTAGGGACACTAAAGATTAATGGGAAGGATGCGCGAATCCTTATCGATACCCGGGGCGCAACGTTCATTTGTGAGTGAAGCGTTCGCCAAGGAATTGGAAGTGCAATCCGCACTGTTGATGCAAACCTTAGTGGTATCAACACCACTAGGGGATGACGTGGAAAGAACTTGTTACTATCCATCTTGTGGGGTGGAAGTTAATGGTCAAACCTTGACGTGTGACTTCGTACCGCTGAGCATGATTGAATTCGATGCAATCCTAGGGATGGATTGGCTAGAAAAAAAAACATGCTAGGGTAGATTGCTACACGAAGGTTCTTGAACTCGAAGGCAATGATGGGGAGACCCTACGCTTCGAGGGTGATCGAGGGAGATCGAGGGAGATCAAACAGCTGTATCATATCCGCTGTGAGAGCGAGAAGTAGGATGAGAAAGGGATGTCACGCATATCTAGCATACGTGGTTGACAAAACCAAAGAGGAAACGAACATCGATGATGTGAAGGTGGTTTGTAAGTACCCGGATGTTTTCCCTAAAGACCTACCGGGGCTTCCACTTGATAGGGAGATTGAATTTGTGATCGCGGTCGAACCCGGTACGAAACCAATCTCTATACCGCCATATCGGATGGCACCTGCTGAACTTAATGAATTGAAAACCCAATTGCAAAAACTATTGGGTAATGGTTTCATTAGACCAAGCCACTCCCCGTGGGGAGCACCAGTTCTTTTTGTGAAAAAGAAAGATGGGACACTTCGAATGTGCATTGACTATCGTCAACTGAACAAGGTCACAATCAAGAATAGGTACCCTTTGCCTAGGATTGATGACTTGTTTGATCAACTACGAGGAGCAACCGTGTTTTCGAAGATTGACTTGAGGTCGGGGTACCATCAATTGAAGATTAAGGAAGATGACATACCAAAGAGTGCTTTCCGCACAAGGTATGGGCATTTTGAGTTCCTTGTTATGTCGTTTGGGTTAACAAACGCCCCAGCGGCATTCATGGACTTGATGAACCGAGTATTCCATAAATACTTGGATCGATTCGTGATTGTGTTCATAGATGACATCTTGATTTACTCAAAGAGTGAATAAGAGCACGAGGAGCACTTGATACTTGTTCTTGAGACACTACGGGAGAAGCAACTTTATGCCAAATTTTCTAAATGTGAATTTTGGCTAAAGGAGATTGGCTTCCTCGGGCACGTGGTTTCAGGATCGGGAATTGCTGTTGATAACAAGAAGATAGAAGCCATTACCGAATGGGAGAGGCCAAAGAACGTCAAGGAAATTCGTAGTTTCCTTGGATTGGCAGGCTACTACAGAAAGTTCGTGGAGAAGTTCTCTGTTTTGGCATCACCATTGACGAAGCTCACTCGTAAAGGAGCTAAGTTTGTATGGGATGACAAATGTGAGAAAGGGTTCATGGAACTAAGGAAGAGGTTGACCGAGGCACCGGTACTTGCATTACCCAAACAGGGTGTGGGGTACGATGTCTATAGCGATGTGAGCATCCAAGGGCTTGGATGTGTACTGATGCAGAATGGGAGGGTAATCGCCTATGCCTCACGACAGCTGAAGAAGCATGAGGTGAATTATCCTACTCATGATTTGGAGCTGGGTGCAGTGGTGTTTGCACTGAAGATATGGAGACATTATCTCTACGGGGAGACATGTCACATATACACTGATCACAAGAGCTTGAAATACGTGTTTACTCAGAAAGAGCTAAACATGAGACAGAGACGGTGGATGGAGTTGATAAAAGACTACCATTTAGTGATAGAGTATCACTCAGACAAGGCAAACATGGTGGCAGATGCCTTGAGCCGGAAGAGTTTGTCTGGGGCATTGATAGCTAATTTGAGGGCATTAAGAGCCCAACTGGAGGTATCTAGCGATGGTGCCTTATTGGCACGATTTGAGGTGAGACCTACCTTACTTGATGAGATCAAGAAGGGTCAAGAGACTGACGTAGAACTTATAAAGGACCGGGAACGCATGCAAGCGGGACCGGTGGAGGATTTCAGGGAAAGAGATGATGGTCTCTTGTTATTTCGTGACCGAGTGTGTGTACCGTCAGATGATGAGCTCCGAAAGTCCATCTTAGAGGAGGCTCATTCATCGGCTTATGCCATGCACCCGGGGGGCACGAAAATGTACCGTGATTTGAAAGAAAGTTACTGGTGGTCTGGGATGAAGAGGGAAATAGCTGAGTACATTAGTCGATGCCTTACTTGTGAACAAGTTAAGGCAGAACAGCAGCATCCAGCAGGCTTATTACAACCACTCTCCATCCCTGAATGGAAGTGGGAACACGTGACTATGGATTTCGTGGTAGGCTTACCACGGACTATCAGGAACTATGACGCGGTTTGGGTTGTTGTTGATAGGCTCACAAAGAGTACACACTTTTTACCTATCAACACTACCTACCCACTCGAGCGGTTAGCCAAATTGTATACGGACGATATCGTGAGGTTACATGGTGTCCCAGTGACCATTGTATCCGATAGAGACCCACGATTCACGTCACGTTTTTGGCCAAAATTTCAAGAGTCTATGGGAACGAAGTTGAAGTTCAGTACTGCTTTCCACCCACAGACAGAGGGGCAGTCTGAAAGAGTCATACAGATCTTAGAAGACATGCTGAGGGCTTGTGCATTGGAGTTCCAAGGGAGTTGGGACAACCACTTAGCACTTGTGGAGTTCACCTATAACAACAGTTATCAGGCAAGCATCGGCATGCCTCCATACGAGGCATTGTATGGGAGGAGGTGCCGTACACCGTTATGCTGGGACGAGGTTGGCATGGCCAAACTTGAGGGTACTGAGTTGGTGGAGATCACCAAGTCAAAGGTAAAGTTGATTCGAGAGAGACTCAAGGCGGCTCAGGATAGACAAAAGAGTTATGCAGATAAGCGTCGGAGAACCTTAGAGTTTAAGGTTGATGACGAGGTATTCTTGAAAGTTTCTCCTTGGAAAGGAATCATACGATTCCAAACCCGAGGAAAGCTTAATCCACGATACATACGTCCATTCAAATTTATAGAGAGGATTGGGGCCGTAGCATATCGTCTGCAGTTAACTCCTGAATTAGAGAAGATACATAATGTATTTCATGTATCCATGCTTAAGAAGTATGTGCATGATCCCTCTCACGTATTGGAGGAACCACCTGTAGAGGTACGTGAAGATTTGAACTACGCTGTGCGACCTATCAAGGTCACCGATAGAAAGGTGAAGAAACTGAGGAGCAAAGAAGTCCCAATGGTTAAAGTCCTTTGGAAGAGCGATCGGGTCGAAGAAGAGACATGAGAAACAGAGGCTTTAATGAGGAAGCAGTATGCTTCTCTATTCGAGTAGAGCTGTGAATTTCGGGGACGAAATTCCTGTTAAGGGGGGGTGAACTTGTGACACCGCACCCGAACGTCCTTGAAAATTCAACTTAAATTCAAATTTATGTATTGAATTTCCGATCTTCCAACAATTGTAAAACGATTAATGTTCTACGTAGTGCATGGTTGAATATCGTACTGTTCAAACTCGTACATTAGTGTCGGGTTTTGCAAATACTTATTCGGGACTTATTAATAAATAAAAGAGCCCAACATTATCTAAATAGTGATACATAATCTTTCAAGACAATTTGAGGAAGGTCGAGCGGCCCAAACATTATTTTGGGCCCAACCTGCTAAAAATAGCAAGTATTCGAGAATGGCGTTCTAGACCCACTCGGGAGTGACCCACACGGCTAGTAGCCCAATAATATGTATGACAAATGTCAAATAAGTGATAGAATGATTAAAGAAGAATACAAATGCCTATAACCCCATCTTTGGCATTATTGAGCTAAATAATGGGAGTAGGGTTTTTCTTCTATAATATTCATCATGTAAATTATTGGGATGATCATACACATAATGGAGATCAATAATATGATGTAGAGAGTTGACTTGTTCTAAATAAATTAGAATGAGTACAAAGAGACATCTTATGACAAAGAGATCAAAAGTGAGACCCACCCATGTCTAAAAACATCTCATGGAGGCCATACCAATTCATTTCACTCCACACAACTTATCCACCCTTATTGAAGGGTCTTGGACACTCCCTTAAGCCCCTCATTCGAACTCCCAAGGATAAGGGAGAAGGAGAGAGCCACACAACCAAGAAAGCAAGAGAAAGGGGAAGCTGCCGCAGGTTCGTTTTCCAGTGCGTAAGGTTACGTGTTTGCTTCATATCTCGAGTCATACACATCCAAATAAGGCGTGCGAGATACCCACAGAAAGCTCTCAAGACGAGGAATCCGTGAAGGTCTGGTTTGCATCAATCGGAGTAGTGGAAGGCTTCCAAATCGTCCGAGCAAAACACAACCTCGCAGAATACGTTTTTGTATTCAAAGTAAGTTTGAATCCAAAACTTTCCTCTCTATTGTCTAAATCATATAAATGATTGAAGAATTATTATACACTGATTGAAGTGTATAAAATGTTATTATAAAGTGACTTTAATTGTTGGAAAGATTAGATACTAACCTACACAAAACCTTGAAAGGTTAGGGAACGAATTCGTCGGGAAACACCCGTTCTAGGGACTGTTTTTATGTCTTCGGTTAGGAGTTCAAATAGCACTTTGAGGGGGCTGTTTAACACTCAATTCCAAGAAAGGAATCAGTTCTCAAACTTCCTTGGCCGGGACTTTGGTCATTGGATCAAGAAGGAAAAGTTTAAAGCTCAATAAAGGTGAGGACCGACATCTAGTTGCTTACAACTTGTAGGTTATGCATGAGATTACCTAAATGCTTAAATCATGTTTTGTGAATAAATATGCTTGAACATGATATGAATGATAAGTAATGGACTTGATCATGAATTGAAACCATATTGATGAATATGGAGTCATGTGAGATAGAAGTATGCTAATATGGTAAATTGACTTTTCCAACTCATGTATGAATGTTATGTGTATGTAAATGTATAATTGCATGGTGATGCTTAACACATGGGAGGCTGCCACATATCTATTGATATGGAGGGGCTACCATTAATGATAAATGAGTTGTAGGAATAATCTTAATAGTATTGTGATGCTAGTTAAGGATTGCCCTAAATGTGTTAGAATCAAACTCAAGGTTTGAGTTTGTTTGTGATGAACTTGAATGAGATTCAAGTGTCAATTGTGGAATCATGGAGTAGGAGATCTATGGTGTGATTTTATGAAGTAGGAGATCTATGGTGTGATTTTATGAAGTAGGAGATCTATGGTGTGATTTTATGAAGTAGGAGATCTATGGTGTGATTTTATGAAGTAGGAGATCTATGATATGATTACATGAAGTAGGAGATCTATGATGCGAGTGCATGATGATGTACTCGAGCCGAACTCTAGAAATGAGAAGTTATATTAGGGTTGGACCCTATGTATGTCGTGACCATTAGTCACGGGTTTTGGGAAATGTTTTGTGATAAACATGGGCCTATGAGCCGACTACTTGACTTCATATAAAGTAAGTATATATTTTGAAGGGGTAATTTGGGATTACAGCCTAAACTATATTATCACCCTATTTGAGGGTCTTGTGTGTGAAATACTTGTTGTATATCTATTAGATGCCTGCCACACCAGTACTTTATAGCCGTATAGAGTACTGACCCCTTCGGGGGCGTCCCACCACCATTTCAGGTTGAGGCTAGAGCTTGCATCCTGTGCTCGTTGATCGAGTGATTCCTAGGAGAGAAGACTTGGTTCGTGCTTCCTCCGTTCCATTTGAAACATAAATAAATTTGCTCATGGATATTTTACTATAGAGCCTGCGTGCTCATGAAATGCCTTGTGTGGCCTTCTTGTTTTAAACAATGTTTTCCGCTGCGTTATGAATTACTTATTATGTTTGTTTATGGATGTATACGTGTGAATGATATTCAAGACGCCTTGTATAATATGAATGTGTTGGACTGCGGTTGACTATTCGTATTGTACGGCGGATTGTCGACGTGTCCGGGGAGGTCCGGGGCGTGACATTATTTGAGTAATAATTTAGGACAAATTAAACCTCTTAAGGAATTACTCTGAGGTTTGTGTTTTAACACATTTCATTTGGAGAGTGAGTTGAAAAATAATTAACTCATTCACATTATTTTCTTATGTAATTTTATCATTAATTCATTATTTATCTACATCTTAACCCATTTTCTCATGTTTCTTTCTATTCTATCATGTGCTGAATCTTTTAAACTCATAACTTAAAACTGTTGTATGTAATTTGAGATTGAGTGGAACTATGTAAGTCAAATAATTCTCCATAAAGCCTTGTTACACCTATATATTTACATATTGGAATTAACTCCATTTACATCTTGGAATTAACCCATATTCATTTCAAATTGAATATGTGAACATCATCTAGTGGAACTTACCAACACACACAAACTTCCTTAACTTTGGAGTTTATTATATGAAATTACCAACACGCAAACAACCATATTTTATAGTACGTAGTAGTAAGTTATCACAGGTTTTCATAGCTAAAATTTCGATAAATATCTTTGTAACAACGCACTTTGTTAAGACCTGGGGTTTCATCCTAAAAGGTCAACCTGATAGGAGGAGTAGCCCAAAGCCTTATATAATGTTTAATTGTTTTATAGCGAACAAATGCTTCAACACGCCCCCTCAGCCTGAACCGGGCTGGACAATATTGAGGTGTATAAACGGGTCAAACAAACCCTTAACAAACTACCCTTAATTATGGGTGCTAAACAAGTCGTCAAACCACAACCGGAATTGGCTCTGATATCATGTAAAGACCCAGAGTTCCATCCTAAAAGGTCAACCTAATTTGCACTTTTGCAGTACTTTAAGTTTTAGAATATGTATACAAAAAGTAAAGCTAGGTATGGTGCCAAAAGCTCTAACTACTTTGCCAGATAGCAAGGCGTATATAAAACATGCCCTATACTAACTTCAGTGCAATCTAGGTATAAGTGCTGGATCGTGAAGAAAAAAAAGACAACAAAAGAGGGTTTGCAGCTTAAAACAAAAAAGTACTACAACTCCACAAGTACTTCACTTCTAAATGTTACAATTAGTTAAAATTCATAGGGTGATTCAACTTTGCAGCCTTTTGTCTCTATCTTGTTGTAAGTGCTTGGCAAGAACAAAAGGCCTTCCTCTAAATTGCATCCCCGAAGCCTTGAATGGCCTTATGGCTTCCTAGTTCTCTATAATGAACTCTTCCGGATACCAAACAGACTCAAAACGCTTGGCCTTTTTGGCACCTTCAGAATGAACTTCCCAAACCCGCTAAGACCCCATTTGGTTCCGTAGGAATTACGGACTTTCCAATATTTGTTTGCTCCGTCAGTCCCATATCCCATAATGAGAAGAGCGTGTGCTGGTGGCGGTGGTATGGCAGATGGAGGGGGAGTGTATGTGTCCTTTGGCCCTAAAGTGAAGAATTCAGGAGTTGTGAGTACGACACCCACAACCGGGTGCTTGTACACCCAAGACTTAAGTTCTTTATCATTGACCTTCTCTTCTACACCATCTATAGACTGAATATTTCACAATGTGACTACATGAGGAGGCAACTTATTCAATGTTTTCAAGATACGATCTTTTTCATGGATTTTTGGAAGCTTTCCGGTGAAGGGATAGTTCTTCTCGAGATGTGTTCCCTCATCTCTAATGCACTTGAATGCTTTGTTGATATGTGTCTCTCCGGTAGGAGCAGATGTGGCTTTCCGTTTTCCTTTAGCTTTACCGCCTTTAAGTGCTTCAGCTTTTTCCATGTCTTGTATTCCCATGCGATCTATTGTTTCCTGAGCTGAGAGGGAATACTTCACCCAACCGTCGACTTTATTTGACATTTTAATGTTCAATTGAGCTTCAGTTGCAGCTGTTGCTGCTATTGGAGCACAAATCTCGACCGTTTTTTGGTCCAAAATCGGGGATTCTGGACAAAAAATTTCGCTATCCTTCCACTCAAAGCTTTCTTGGGGGGGGGGGGGGGGGGGCTCTGTGCCATTGGAGCAGAAATGTCAGGGACCGGTACTCCACTCACCACTCACGCATGAAGCACATTGCCATTGACTTTCATTTTGTTCGTGAACAAGTTGCCAGCTGCCAACTTTGTGTATCTCACGTTAGTACTCATGATCAATTAGCTGATATGCTCACAAAAGCCATTGCAACGACTCTGTTTCTCTCTCACCGGTCCAAGCTCGGGGTCATTCCGGGACCTCCTCACTTGCGGGGGCATGATAAATTATAAAATTATTTTAATAATATTGTTTGTATATATCTCTTAGCAATCATTATCACATGTAAATCACACTCACTTACGTAGAGTAGTATTATACGGAGGATATATCTTCTCCTTATTTGCAGGGAGGTTACAACCTCCAGTGCATATCCTCCAAGTGTACACGCACGCATGCATGCATGCTATATATACTGTACCTCAGCTATTCAATAAACTACGAAAAACAGTTTATTCTATATTTCTTTAGGAAAAATTCAAATGAATAATCCAAACTATTAAGAGTCTTCCCATATTAATTCCAAATATTGATAATTCTAATATAATCCCAAATTCAATGACAGTCTTCTCCCCTTGATCCAATTCACCCGTGACCTATTTAGCCGGTAAAAATGAAAAGAACACTATTCATCTTCATCTTCTTGCTTTTGCATCTGAACATCTGAAATGGAAATTCGCAAGGTAGGCAACTAAGACGAATACCACCACACTTATCTTCCGCTTCACTCTTCTTCTAAGAAGATGTGATGACTGAGCATCCACCACCGCCGGCAGTCGGAGTAGAACCGGCGAGTGAGTTTCCATAGGTTTTTTGAACGGTTGCAACCACGGTGTCATAGCCCTTATTTTACTTCTGACCGCAGACCACGTCATTCGAGCACCACTGCTACTCTACATCGGTCCTCCTGGCCCTGCGCCCCCTGCTCTAGATTCATCACTGCCCTTCCCCCAATACCCTGTTTTGTTTGTACCAGTAACCAGTGCTGGTATTTGTTTATTTCCAGTATATATATACTAAGTAAATTATAGTCCATAAATTAATTAAATTGTGATTGGGTGATTTTTTTTTCTTTTTGAAGAAGATGGAGCTTGCTAGAAGAAGGGATGAGAAAGAAGAGCTGAAGAGATGATCTTGAATACCGCTGGATTGCTGGAAGCGGCGGTATTGTTCGGTGCTCCGGCCATTCCTCTTACCGTTGATGCCAATTCTTCTATGGTCTCCTGGGCTCCTGGCTTAGCACGATTGCCATGTTTTTTTTAGAGTCGATGGCCATGGTTAAAAAAACAAACAAGGAAAGAAAATATAAAGTAAAACAAAAATATTATATTCAGACCAATAAAATTATGACACGTGTCAAAATGACCTGTTTATTAGGTTGATGCAGGTCACCGGATTGTTTAGAGAAGATGCCCCTGATAATTTAGATTATTATAGAATATTCAATAGTTGGGAGTAATCTTGGAAGACTACTAATAGTTCGGATTATTTATGTGAATTTTTCCATTTCTTTATGGTATCAGAGCTAATGAGAGATAAAATTCTATAAGTGTGATATATAAATTTAAACATAAAAAATGCTTATAAAATAAATGACGGGGTTCTGAAGCAATTAAATTTTAGAGGTATATACATCTAAATTATGTTATTACCAGAATTGGATGTCCCATAGAAGTTCGGACAATATGAGTATTTGTTTTAAAATAAAGTTTACTATTATTCTAATACGAATGCACATTCAAATGATTCAAATAACAGCTATGAAAAACCCAAGAAATACCATATATTTAATGTCTCATATAACAATAATAATTTATATAATAAAAGAAATAATATACGGAGTATATAATACTAATCATAAAAATATATAATGGTTAGGGTGGAAGTTTGCGATGTAGACGAAACTATCCCCTTAAGATAGTTTAACTTAATTTATTTGAAGCTTTGGAAGGAGGCCCGCAAATTGAGAGGAACTTTTATTATTTGTGATCATATAAAATCTCCATTGAAAGAGGTAGTCCTTTGATTGGAAATCTAACTTGACAGCATCACAAGAAGCTCTCACACTCTTCTTCGTGTTCTTCCTCTCCCATTCGATCATCACCCTGCAACTGAATCAGTTTGATATAGCGGCCGCCCCGCTACCCCCGTATGTGTCAAGATCCAAGAACCGGAGCACCACCTCCCCGCCAATCCTCTTGCACGGGTTACAAAACGGCGGCAAGAAATCGAGCCAGCTGCATTTGGGCTGCCCAACCATGTTCTTGTAGGCGGAATTGGCCAGCTTCACTTTGTTGTTCATGTCAGAGACGACCACCTGATGATGCTCCGCCTCCGCATCCTTCTCCACCTCCTCTGCACTCTTCAGTATCACCACCTTCAATGTGTCTGAGCTCTCCTCCTCTACCATGTCCATGCAACCAACAAAAATGGTCGACCAGACAGGGCGAACCGGCTTTGGGGTGATCACGCGGGGTTTTCATTCCAACCAGTAGTGGCCCAACTGCGGCATGAAATCAATTCCCTGGTTCAAATTTATTCCGGCAGTCCCCGTCGAGGCTTGCATCGAAATACCCAACCTGCGCGGAGAAAGATTCAAGTGGGTTGGGGTTCGATCAAATAACCCGGCAGGATAACTATAAGGTAGTGGAGGAGGAAGAGTACCAACGGGCGAACTAACCCTCCTAGGGGAATAGGGAGAGGAAAGGCAGAGGGGCCCGATCTCTTCTGAGATCGGGCCTGTCTAGCCTGCAAATATAGCCAAACATTCCGGAAGTAAGGCAACTTCATGATGCTCTCCGGAAAGGCATTGGCGGAACTAGAACCTTTGTCGGCGTCAGCTCCGGTGAGAGTGTAACCTCGGGCTTGGGGGTGATAGGCCTGTATCTCGCAAGGAGCTCTTCAGTACTGCTCTTTTTATAAGAAGAACCACTATTACCGGTGGAGAAAGAGTTAACACCATCCATGGTTATTATAATGAATTTAAAGATGTACGAGATTGATATATTTTATACTTCCATTAAGAGATTGAAAGGCAATGGAGTAATGGAGGTATATATAATACTAACTAGGGTGGGGTTGGGAGTGTGATAGGGAGTAGAAAATGAAGAGAATTGAAGGCGGGTAGAGGAAGGATAGATTGGTGTTGAGGAA